TCATGATCCTGGAGTCCCAGGATCGAGTCCCGCATCGGGCTCCCTGCTCAGCAGGGAGTCTGCTTCTCCCTCTGACCCTCTTCCCTCTCGTGCTGTCTCTCTCTCTCATTCTCTCGCTCTCAAATAAATAAAATCTTTAAAAAAATAAATAAATATTTCTCACATTTATAAAAAAAATAAAAAATAAAAAAAAAATAAAAACAAATAAAAACACCTCCCCTGGTGAAACTGTGAGCTCCAACATTTAGCATGTGCTGCAGAATTACAGATGTTACAATCTGGGTATTAAAATCAGTTCTTTTTCTATTTTCCCAACATCATACTGACAAATATTTTCACCCAAACAACCACCAAAATTAATTACCATTTTAGAGGTACACCTGTCTATTTAGGGCTCTCTGACATATAACTCATTTGATTTTTTTTAACAATCATAAAAGATAAACAAAATAGATAAGGAAATTAATGGAAAATAAATATCCCTGTCTGCTTACTACACTACTAAGAGCTACCATATATTGACAGCCTACCCCATGCCAAACACTGTATTTGATAACCTCCATCTTCACAATCCTGTAAAACACTTCTTAAATCTCCATTTCACACGTGAGGAAATTGTAGTTGAGAGAGGTTAAGTAACTCCGTGAATGTGACCTGATCACACTGAGAAGTCCACTTAACTTCTCAAAGCATGAAAGTAGCAGAGCTGAGATTCAAATCCAGGCCGTCTGATGACCGAGCCCACAATTCCAACTACAACCCAAGAAAGAGAAACAGATGGTGGGTTTGTCAGCCTTCCACCCAGCACCTGCCTTCCGACTCTACCATGTCTATATATACTTCAATCCCTGGATGTGAGGGTGAGTTTACCGACATTCTGCTTGTTTTCAGATTTTTGTCAGTCTGGTTCTCAAGTGACAAAAACTGCCAGGATGGAAATTTACAAACAAGTGATTCCCAATCGAATGATTTCTTATCTTTCCTGTCTTGAGTGTTAGTTATTGCCATTTAAAAACCCCACATAAGGATGTCTTTAAATATTCACTTAGTGAAAAGAACAAATGTTTTCTGATACCTGCTCTATCCCCAAAGGCCCCCATACGCACTGTGTAAGTTGAATAACCACACACGGCCAGGGATTGATGTTTCCTTGCTTGGGGATACTTTGATCAAGTACATAAACAGAAAACTAAAACTACTGATCAAAACAAATGAGAGCAGGCAGGGTTTTCTATATTATAATGCCCCATAAAATATAGGTACAAGAAGTATATTGTACCCTAGACTTCTATCAGACAAGCAAAGAACAAAGAAAATGAGGAAGTGCAGGAGCAGGCAGATATATAGTCTGGCAAACTTGAAAAGAGGTGGGGGTGGGGAAGGGCCAAACTCAGTAAGATGGGGGAGTGCGGCTCCTTGCAGGACTCTGAAAAGTTTTTCTTTACAGAAGCAAATTCAGGCAGCATCTAGTAGTAATACCTCTGCAATGTGAAATACATTTTAACTCAAATGGCATTATTCCAAATTTTGGCAATATTTAAATATATTTTAAGGGCCCTATGACCGCTAGACATAATTCAATATACTAGAGAAACAGTCACAACAGGAATACATAGGCAGCTATTTTCATGAGAAATTATCCAACTTTCCAAGCCCCACTTAAATATGTAAGAAAATTTTCAGAACGTATTAGCCAGCAATTGCTCAATGATGGGGCCAATGATACTTATTTACATTGCATGTTATTTTAGCATGGCGTCCAAATCAAGGAACCAATCACCTACTACACACCTTGACACTGAATCTAATAGCAATACTGTCAAGGCTGAGAGAAGCGAAAGAAAACCTTCCTTCACAATGTTGGATAGAAAAAAAAAAGTTTATTTTCAACATCAATTTAAGATACTTTAACATCACAACATCAGCTCATTAAGGTTTCCAGTTTCAAAAGGACTATTTCTTTAAAAAAATTAATAAATGGGAAGGTTTTTTTCCCCAGTTACTGTCAAGTAAATGCTCGTAAGTAAAGAATTCAAATTAAAAATACCAACGACTGAGTTGACTTTCTGGCAACTGAAAAATCACTGTGCAGCTTTGCTATTCCTTTCTGCTATTTTCTGAGTTTACGTGTAAATTAGTCTTGATTTTCACCATGAAAATAAATTACAACTAAAAGCAAAGGTGATGTCAAAATGAAGAATATTCTCCTCATCGACCCCACTGACTCAATTCGAGAAGTACTACTGGAGGCCTAATTTACAAACAGGCTTCAGATTTTCACACAAGAGTCTAAACATGCTTAAATTTGAACACATTCTAGTCCTCTTCCGAGTAGGTATTTTAGTTGGCTTTTGAAACACCTTTCAAGTAAGTTATGATCAAAGATGCTTTTTGTTCTTATTTTAATTCTTAGAATTATAAGGTCTGACCTCTGCATATAAAATTAGATTATGATTTGTAGTCACGTATTTGCTCATAAGAACACAGTCCCAGTCAAATCGTCATAAAATCCAATGCTTTGTTGGTGTTAGAGAGATCTTCAATACGCCATGTATTAACTAGAAACATCCATGTAATAATAGATCAGAGGATATTAAAGTTTATGGCTTCCCGAAAGTACTCTCAACAGAAAATGTGATAGCTAAAACAAAATAAACTGGAATGCTACAAATATGTATTTGATCACCTTAATAATTTACAATGTAATAATTAAATCCCAGGAACTGCTTTGCATAACTGAATAATGTCTAAGTCATCCAGTACTTAAGAAAATAATTAATGGAAACCTTACCACTTAGGAAAAGCATATGCATTTTAATAATAGCAACATCCACATCCCTAGTCAAAGTAGAGATCATTCCTTAAAGAATTTTTTTTCCAGAGTTCCAAAAGAAAGGATGCATAGAACCACAGATAGGTACTTTACATCTTGATACAATTATTTGTTTCCCTCTAAAAATAATTACAAAAAAATGCCAGCCATCTGGGAACCCAGTTATCAAAGGACAATTGCAGTGGAGAATTTTGAAAACAAAGGGTCATACTTACATGTCTCTTGAAATCACCCTGTTTTACTACTAGGCTCAAATTTAATACAATCACCCCCATGTCCGCTTCTAAACTGTTTGGGTCTTCCAATTTTAAAATATGTTCAGTCGTTCTACAAGCAAAAAGCAACAAATAACATTAGCACTTACGGGCAGTACTAGATAGTCTTATAACGCATCGAGAGCTTACAGAAAAAGTCTCCTACCTCTGCATAACAGTGAGACACAAGTTTTAAAAAGCACCAAATTCAGTAAAAATAACCCAACCATCTTCAGAGTAGGGGAACTGTTTGGCACTGCCTAATTCAACAGTTGGTTAATGGATTCTTTTCTCTTACTACCCAAATAAAATTTAAATACTTGTTTTATTTTTAGGTTAGGTAGGTTAATGAACCTGAATATTAACAGTTCAAAATCCAATACACATTTCAGAACACACTGTGGAAGATTTAATATCCGACTCATTGGTTTGGGAGAGAAGAGCTAAAATCATAGAAAAATTCACATTTTAAAGCACGCTTTCATTTATTCAGATTTTTTTGTCATTTAATCTAAACAAATGTAATTTAACGTTGAGTTCCCTCTAAACTTCAAAATCACAATTAGAAGGTAAAAATACAGTACCTGTTAAGCTCAAGATCTCTGAGCATGACAAACGCAGAACCCATGAAATCAGATGTAGTTAAATCTCGATCATATACCTACAAAGAGGGAAGAGGCTAGTAATGCATTAATAAGGTAAACCAACTGAATTTATCCAACTATTAATAAATGCAATAGGCTGGGAATTTTGAATTCGGTCTCCTAGGTCTAAAAAATAATGTGCACAGTACAGTTAAGGAGGAATTAGGCCAAGCCGACGGTGAGAACAAAAATTATTCAGACTTGCCCATTTTGCCTACCACAGCCAAAACAACAGCAGAAAATACTCTTAAGGCAGTATTCATATGTGTTAAAATGTTACGCACAATGGGGCACTCTCTGTAGTTTCAATGGTCTCTCATTAAAATTTAGTATTTTCCATGGTGAGCAGATCTGCCAATTAAATAGAAATTTGCTAAATATTCTATAGCAATCCCATCCTCCACTCAACTCATGCAGTTTTAACCCAGATGTTAGGGCAACTGATGCTTACAACCAGTAGCTTAAAGCTCTATTAAGTATAAAGTTATTCCTAATGAGAAAGGCTTCCCTACTTGTCGCCACTACACCAGCTGCAATAATTCTTCCACGTGCAGTAAGTTTAAATACAATCAATGGAGATATTATTTTCACTCTGATTTTCTGTGGAGTATATACCACTGATCTGAGAAAAACATACAGTTTCAATGAAGGGTATATATAATCCCTTCCACACTAATATTTTTCACCCAGAGCTTAATAATAATAAAAGAATTTGGGGACGTTGTCTTTTTAAGGGGGCAAAGATTGCTGAGAAATCAACGTTTTAAACCAAAGAGCAGATTTGAAAGCCATCTGTGATTACCTTCACACGGAGCTTTTGATCAAGGCTTTGAATTGGAAGTACAACTATCTCATCCCAAACTGGGTTCAAGTTCTTATATATGACTTTACTTTTGTACAGCGTCTTCCCATTCAGCTTAAATTTCACATAGGGATCGCTTGTGCCTTTAAAAGAAAAGAAGAGAGCAAGACAGGTTTTAAAAATATACGTTAAAGCCCAGGATCTCCATTAAGTAAAGATTCTTTCCACACCGCCCTGGCTCAAAGAATTTCACTGAGCACACCCAGGACAAATGTCTCCCTGTGCAGGGATTGAAGGCCCCAGAGGTGGAGAGGAGAGGAAAAATGAAACAATCTGGGGTAAATGACTGATTCTTCTTTGCCTTTTGTGGTAGAATACAAATGGGCTCCTTGAGCGTTTTCTGTTTGGTTTCCTTCTGGGTATGTCATCACTACACTACCCACAAAAATTCCAGAAACAAAATCCACCGGCACCAGCTGACGGTGTCAGGAGTCCTGGGGAGAAACCCACCCCTCCCAAGAAGGGCAGCAAGTCCGTGAAAAGGGAAAGAAACCATTTTCAAACACTTGGCCAGATGGCTGACTCAACAGAACTCTGTACTTTCGAATATAATCATAATAAATAAATCAGTCTCTGAAACCACTGGTTCAAAAGATGGGGCCACAGGACGAAGACAAGAACTGGGGGCATAGAGATTAAACTGACAAAGTTGCCATTCTTTGCTGTCTGCTGCACCTGCAGGAAAGCCAGAGAACATTGTCTCGCCCTGGCCGGCTGAACGCCACCCACACCAGCCAGGCCCTCAGCTGGCCTCAGGGCCAACACCCCTGACCCGCCCAGCTCCTCCCAGGGAGCTTTGAAACAGATGCCAAAAAGAATGAATAATGTCCCTCCAGCTACGCTATCCAAAGCAGAAAGAAGGGCTGATGACGAACCCTCCTGACGAACCCTCCTCCCCACTTCCAGATCAGTTTGGGGTGGGGTGGGGGGGGAGGCTGTAAACATAAACCGTGAATTCTGTGTTGTGCATGTCTGTCGCATGCCATCATACTTGGGACATACTTGTGAATTAATACCCAGTGAATGGTGAATAAAGAAGGCACAATCAGTGAGGGGAGAACTGAAGGCCAGCCAATAATGCCACAAAGAAAGAAAAAAATCTAATTTGAGGAGTTAGGATATTATAATTGACCGCGAAACAGACAATCATGAATAAGTGCACAAAGACCAACCTATATTCCCCTATATACATCCCAGGTGCTGCGGATGGTGCCCAACACAGGTCCCATATATTTATGGACATGAATTCCTGCTTTAAGGTCAAGCCAAAAGAGCTGAAGATATTATCTCAAAAATCAATTAGGCTACTCTGTTGCAAACCTTTACCAAATCATTAATACCCATCCTTTATTACCTTAAGCTTCTATTTTCGTTGGCCTTTTTTTTTGTTTTCTAATTAGCTGCCATATTAAAAATGACTGAACACAAATGCGATACCTCCCCAATTATTTCAACAGAAAGAGATTTCCCTAGAAAGCAAGATAATATACATTGTTTAGAAGCCTTCATAGATTACCCAAGGTATAATTTGGGTGGTAGCCTTCCAGTATTGCAAGACTTCTAACCCTGAGACGAAGAAATGAAACCACACACATACAAACGCACGTATTCGACTCTCGCATTTTAAGTTTGGCAACCCAGGGACGGAAGCCCCCGGCAGTCTTTATTTTAAAGACTTGGACACACAGACACACAGACACACAGACACAGACACACACACACACACACAGTTTTCACTGGCAGCTCTGAACAGGACAGTAAAAAGGAATGCATTCACAGCCATTCAGTGGACTAGTCACTAGTGAGTGAGCAATCTTCCGCCCCCCCCATTCCTCTTTACAGTACATGAGAACACCTCTGGCAAGCCAGACTTTAACCATCATTCTGATATATATATATAAAAAAAAAAAAAGCAGGGGGAAAACTATAATAAAAAGAGGCCTTTAATTAAATGAAATTGCCACTCTGGGATCGGGCCTTCATGCTTGTCAGCGTGCTCTCAAAATAAACATCTCAAAACCCGGCCTCGGTGGTGTCACTTTCTCACAGGCAAAGCATCCTGGGTAATCCCCAGGCATCTTGACAGCTACATAATGTTCAAACGGTTTCACGGGTGAATGGCGTCAGTTGCGTGAAAGAAAATATTAATGTCTGGAATTAATAGAAAAGGGGACCGGGGTTTACAAAGCCAAACAAGGAAAGAGGGTGTCAAGTTAGTGTGGCGTTAATTGTTAGGGAAAATTTGAGCAAGGGGGGGAGCACATTGTGATTTTTCTCTCGGAGCCTAAGTGCCTCACTGTCAGGGAAGTGACATCTCAACTAGGCAGGTTCTGAAAAGGGGTCGGCGGCTCAGGAATGCAACTCCCCGATTATACAAATGATGAGATGACACCTGAATGGGTGGACTTTCACCTTTTTCACTGGGAGCTTCATAAACAATGAGGTTCTTTGGGAGAAAGAGGGAGCATGGCACTCTGGGAGGAGAAGAAAAAGCTACGAGGCCAGACGGGCGCCCGCGTCCTGGTGTGGCCCCCAGTTCCGCCATGTGGACCTGATGGGGGTCCCACACAACCTCAGATTTAGAAGAGCAAGGTGTTAAGCATCCAGGGCCTGAGTTCCATGCTGCCCTCCAAACACACAGGGGTTCGACGCTTGCCGACACAGACTAACAGCCATTCGCTGTTCCTCCAGAAAATGCTACACCAATTTATACTGTGACCACAATGTGTGGCCATCCTTACTTCTGCTCCTGCTTAATGACACGGTGGTGTGTCAGGCCTGCTGACACAGCTCACACACCACAAACACTAACGACCGACTTCAGAGCCCGGCTTGGTGCTAGGCACGGTGGCGGGGGGGGAGGGGTCACTAAGGTCAATCAGTCCCAGAGCCTGCTTCAGTCCAGTCTCCTGCACCTGGTGGGTGGCAGGCATACCAGAAATATAACGTAAGGCCCAAGAGGTGAGTGTTGAAACAGAACTGAACTCGGGGGTGATTCTAGCTCACAGGTGGGAGAGATCAGCTCCAGCTGGGGTGTCCGTGGAGGTTGAAAGAGGAGGTCCTGGTTGAGATATGGGTGGACTCCAACATGTGGGGATAGGACTGAGGTCACTTTAGCAGGGGCCACTAGCACTGAAGCTGGGGGAGCAGGGAGGAGACCAAAATGACAAGATCTGTGCAGTGCCAAGCAAGCATTTCAATTGATCTGGAAAAATAAGTGGAAAAAATATAATGAGAAACAAAGTTTAAAAGGCAGGTTTGAGTCAGAGGCCAAAGTTCTTTAAAATAACAAAATAAGGAGTTTAATTTTGTTCTGTAAGAAATATAGGGTAGTTTTGTGTTTTCTATTTTTTTTTCTTTTTTAATTTCTTAACACACATGTAAGATACGCACTGGTCTTGGGAAGGTATGAAATGACAAGGAGAGTCTCTACTCTCTCAGACTTGTATGACTCTCTTGGAGTGCATGAGTATATTCAGAGGGAATTTTTAACTTTGGAACTGCTGGGCACGTGAATATCCAAACCTTTTCTGGTCTGGATACACACTGTCACATTGTTCTTCCAAAGTCTGTCAAATTTACATTCCCACCAAGAGTATATGTTTTGTACTTGTTTCTTTGCATGCTCCCCAAAATTGAATGTTATATGCCTTTATTCTAAAAGAACAGCAGGTGGAAAAATGGCATCTCTATTTTTCTCTAATTTTGACATTTTGAGTAAAGCTTAGGATCTTTCATATTTTAGTGACCTATGTTTGTTATTTCTTTGTCAGGGAAATTCACATCATATCATTTGTCCATTTTTCTAAGATCTCATGGTTATTTGCTTCAGGATTTGAATGAGTCTTTAATTATGGAAATCAGCCATTGGCTATAAATCTTGTCATAATTTGTTTATGCTTAAGCTATGTCTTGTAATAAGTTGTTTTTTTTATTTTTTAGTTTTTCTTTAGTCAAATTTACCAAAGTTTTATTTATGGCTTTGTAGTTTGACATTCTGCTCAGAAGAAATTTTCTCACTACAGGATTTTAAATTGGTTCAGCTATGTTTCCTTCCACTGATCTTGTAGTCTTTCATTTATTACATGTAAGTCCTTCGTCCATCTGGAATTATTTCAGCGCGAGGAGGGAAGTAAAGTCAGGTTTAGGTATGAACAGGAGAGTAAAAATGATCAGAGCCTAGTTTTAGAAATATAAATCTGGCATTCACTTATAATGTAGGAGGCAGAAGAAACTGACGAAAGCAAGAAAAGCTGGTGGTTGAGATAAGGCCGCCCCAGGGAGCTGGGGGCCAAGCAAGAAGCTGCACCCGGACCAAAGAGGAGGCAATCTGGGCTTCCCCAACCATGCTCCATAGAACCTCAGCTGGAGGGATGCTCCATGGACTGAAAGGGTTAGGACACCAAAACCCACTGGGAGAAGTTGTTTACTACTTCCTTCCTTGGAATTTCGGTGTAGAGCAGAACTGACCTCTGCTAAGAACAACGTTCAGATAACAACAATACCAACAGCTCAAAACTTTTCTACCCTGTATTTCAGAAAATTATTTCAACATAAAAATCATTTTACTAGAAGCATCTATGAACATATTAGACTCCTCCAAATCAAAGCTCTAGAAATTAAGATGTATGCCCAAAACTTGCCTAATGTGCATGATACAGGTATTAGAAATGTGATCAATGAATGGATGACATTTGAAATAAGATGGCATGGGGATGAAAATCCCATAGTTTCCTTTTCATAACTTCCCTTTAGTAAAATCCCACTTCCTTATGCCTTACTATCTTCACCTGTTTATAAAAAATATACCAACCTCGGGTGCATGGGTGGCTCAGTCAGCTAAGTTGGCTCAGGTCATGATCCCAGGGTCCTGGGATCAAGCCCCACATCAGGATCCCTGCTAAGAGGGGAGGTCTGCTTCTGGTCATGCTCTCTCTCTCTCAAATAAATAAATAAAATCTTAAAAAAAAAAAATACCAACTTCTTAGGCTTATCTTGAGAACTGAATGAACCAATATATTTCAGTAATAGACTCCAGCCATTTACTGAGAAAGTCCCATAACAACTGCTGTTATTTTTATTA